ATATGCCGGATTGGATAAATTACATGGCTCTTATATTGAAAGGCTAGGTTATAGATCTTAGAGGTGTTCTCTTCTTATTTCTTCTTTATCTGTATTCCAGGTTTATAAGGTAAAGTTAATTGACCAAAACAAAAAAAGGTTAAATCTTGATGATATAGCAAGAAGGGGACATAGTTGGTTTGGAACCAAAATCAAAGGCTTTAAGATGATTTGATTGGAAAATTTTGTCTGTTGTGACCCTTTTGTGTCTCATTTTCTATGTTATGCGTCCATAAATATCATCATTAATGATTTTTCACATTTTATTTAATGCTCTGTGCCATGTTGGTTGATTGAATCAAGCCATGCATTGTGCAAATATCTTTATTGAAGAGAGTGAGCTATTTATCCCTCTTTGTTTCATTGTATAGGTACTTCGCCTTCTAGTCAACGTGTATCAAAAGCTGCCCTCCCCAGATTACTTGAGCATTTGTCAGTGTCTCATGTTCTTAGATGAACCTGAAGGTGTTGCAAGCATATTGGAAAATCTTTTGCGCTCTGAAAACAAGGATGATGCACTCTTGGCATTTCAAATAGCCTTTGATCTCATAGAGAATGAACATCAAGCTTTTCTCTTAAGTGTGAGAAAACGCCTTTCCCCTCCCAAGCCTCAGCCTTCAGAATCTCCGCAGCCAGAATCCAGTGAAGCTGCTCCAAATGAAAATTCTGCTCAAGAGGATGTTCAAATGACAGATGGAGGTCCTGCTTCTAATGTGAATGTGCTCGAAGATCCAAACGAAGTGATGTATTCTGAGAGGCTGACAAAAATTAAAGGAATTTTGTCTGGAGAGACATCAATACAGTTGACTCTACAATTTTTGTACAGTCATAACAAGTGAGGCTGCTATTTTCTTCCCATATTGTTGTTTCATTAATTCATAAGTAACTTTTTGTTTCTGCTGGAAATAAGTCATTTAGAAAGTGCTTTAACTGTTTTCTGTCATTTGCATATAGGTCCGATCTTCTTATTCTAAAGACAATAAAGCAGTCTGTTGAGATAAGAAATAGTGTATGCCATAGTGCAACCATTTACGCTAATGCAATTATGCATGCTGGAACAACTGTGGACACGTTTCTTAGGGAGAATCTGGTAAAGCAGATAACTTAATTTGTTGTTTGACCACCTTTTGCATTGGCATATTTCTTTGTTATGAATATTGACAACATAGGTTTACATTGTCAGGACTGGTTAAGCAGAGCCACAAATTGGGCAAAATTCAGTGCAACAGCAGGGTTAGGTGTTATTCACAGAGGCCACTTGCAGCAGGGAAGATCACTGATGGCACCTTACTTGCCTCAAGGTGGGGCTGGTGGTGGTGGCAGTCCGTACTCAGAAGGTGGTGCTTTGTATGCTTTGGGTCTCATTCATGCCAACCATGGCGAAGGCATCAAACAATTTCTTCGTGATAGCCTACGCAGTACTAATGTTGAGGCGTGTACTTTGTAAACCTGCTATCACATTTTTTTGGGCATACAAGTTTATTGCCAAATTTTTCTAATGGGATCTTTTGATACAGGTTATTCAACATGGTGCATGCTTAGGTCTTGGCTTAGCAGCCTTAGGAACTGCTGATGAAGAGATCTATGATGACTTTAAAGGTGTGCTCTATACTGACAGTGCTGTAGCGGGCGAAGCTGCTGGGATCAGTGTGGGTTTGCTTATGGTTGGAACTGCAAGCGAGAAGGCTAGTGAGATGCTTGTTTATGCACATGAGACACAACATGAAAAGATCATCAGGTATAGACTTCATTATATATTTTTATATTTGGATTAAAGATAGTATTTGTCGGAGAAAAGCAAGATTTTCTTGTCATCTGTGGTGGGAATGATACTCTTTTCCTAGGGTTTTTGCTAATGGTGTAGAATGTTACAGGGGGTTAGCTTTGGGAATTGCCCTGACGGTATACGGAAGAGAAGAAGAAGCAGACACTTTAATTGAGCAGATGACAAGGGATCAAGATCCCATACTACGTTATGGTGGTATGTATGCATTGGCACTGGCCTACAGTGGGACAGCAAACAACAAGGCCATTCGACAGCTGCTGCATTTTGCTGTGTCTGATGTGAGTGATGATGTCAGGAGAACTGCTGTTCTAGCACTTGGGTTTGTCTTGTACTCCGAGCCAGAGCAGGTTGGTACTTTCTTTTGTTCATTGCTATGCTCTCAGTCTCAGTACTCCATTTGCTGTTGTTTCTTCCTACTTGATGTTGCTTGCTGCTTCTTTTTTTCCTGTTCTCTTATAATGCCTTTAAATCTCCAAAATTGAACTGGAAAACTGCAGACACCAAGAATTGTCTCCCTGCTGTCTGAGTCTTACAACCCGCATGTTCGATATGGTGCTGCTCTTGCAGTAGGCATTTCCTGTGCTGGTACTGGCTTGAGTGAGGCCATATCTTTGCTAGAGCCTCTGACTTTAGATGTTGTTGATTTTGTGCGCCAAGGTGCTCTCATCGCTATGGCTATGGTCATGGTCCAGATTAGTGAAGCCAGTGATTCTCGTGTAGGAGCTTTCAGGTATCGTCATCGTATTTGCAAAATTTACCATCTCTCTCTCTTTCTCTCTCTCTGTCTCTGTGTGTCTACCTCTGTATAAACACACAAATAGATCCCTTATTAATCCATTTTCATGAGTCGAAAAGGATTGCATGCGAGACAAACCCCTCAATTTAATCCAATGATCTTAACCGTCTATATGTTAGGTTCCTATTCAAGGAGACCAATAACAAGACAAGCATAGTCGGAAGTTGGAGAAAATTATCCTTTTTCTTCAATAATGTTTGGAATTTACAAAAACTTGTCAACTTATTTTATTACTTGGATCTCTTGTTTTTCGAATATAGGCGGCAATTGGAGAAAATTATCCTTGATAAGCATGAAGACACCATCAGCAAAATGGGAGCAATCTTGGCCTCTGGAATTCTTGACGCTGGTGGAAGGAATGTGACCATAAGATTGCTTTCTAAAACAAAACATGATAAGGTCACTGCAGTTGTCGGCCTTGCTGTTTTCAGCCAGTTTTGGTATTGGTATCCCCTTATTTATTTCATAAGCTTGGCATTCTCACCAACAGCTTTGATAGGACTAAACTCTGACCTGAAAGTTCCAAAGTTTGAGTTCCTGTCACATGCAAAACCTTCACTGTTTGAATATCCGAAACCAACCACTGTGCCAACTGCTGCATCAGCTGTTAAACTCCCCACGGCTGTCTTGTCAACATCAGCTAAGGCCACGAAAGCCAGGGCCAAGAAAGAAGCAGATCAGAAGGCAAATGCTGAAAAGTTAACTGGGGCAGAGGCTTCATCTGCTAGTGCAAATACTGGGAAAGGAAAACCATCAAGTGAGAAGGATGGGGATTCAATGCAGGTAAGTCCTGTCCCACCCCTTCCCCCCTTCACTTTTGCATTTGCCCAAAAAAAATTTAAGCTCAATGTTTATGTTTTTTTTATTCTTAAAAATAGTTTCTTTTAGTTTTATGACATACTACTGGTTTAAACTGTTCCCTAATTATTATCAGGTTCTCTGATTCCATGTACTTTTATAATCTTTAGTTTAGGACATCATAAGCGGTCTTAATTCAAATCCCCCCTTCCTTTTTTCAGGTTGATGGCCCAACTGAAAAGAAATCAGAGCCTGAGCCCTCTTTTGAGATTTTGACCAACCCAGCTAGGGTGGTTCCTTCTCAGGAGAAATTTATCAAATTTCTGGAAGAAAGTAGATATGTGCCCATTAAGTTGGCACCTTCAGGCTTTGTGCTCTTGAGAGACCTGCGGCCAACTGAACCCGAGGTGCTTTCACTTACGGACACTCCCTCTTCTACAGTGTCACCAGCTGGTGGATCAGTAACAGGACAGCAGGGTTCTGCATCAACCATGGCAGTTGATGAGGAACCTCAGCCTCCTCAGCCCTTTGAATACACTTCTAATCAATGAACGAGGCAGAAGATGTATTCTACAGTGTTCAGTAAGATTTTTCCCTTTCTGTACAGTGAGGAAACATTAGATTTGGCACTTTCCCTTTCCTAATCTTATTTCTTTTTCTTGCTAGTCAGAATGACGCTATAAATATGCCGTTGATTTGTTGGCTTGCTTCCTTTACTAGTTAAAATGTTAAATTTTCCCGTCTACAATGTAGTCATGATTATTAGTAACTATCATGTATGGTGTAAAAATGGATGGATCTATTACATTTTGGGTTGATTACAAATAGAGATAACATGTCCTTGCATGTGGTAGTTGCATATTACCACATCGATATAATGAGACTATTTGTTACAGCAATAGTGCTATTTGAGAGCATTTCCCTTTTTCTTGGTCGCGTTAAAGTCCTAATTGTGCTGAATGTTTCATGCAAATGGTTGGGCACCGTAAGCCGACTCACCCGTTCTTTAGGTATGTATCTGAACACCACTTCACAATTGCTCATATTGTGTTGTGTATGAAATTCATCTAAATTATAAAATGTTGTAATAATTAATTTAACTACAAACTCGACGTTAAATACTCTGAATACCGTACAGATACACCTAATAAATTTTCGTATTGTAACTGGTAGGTGTGAACGAAAACTTAAATACTTCTTTAAAACATATTCATTTTGTCAGAGTAATTGGCTGTGTAATTCTTTATCCAGTAACTTGAATTTTGTTTGTTTGTATATAAACAGTATTGGGGAGGGGGAATCGAACTTAAAACTTCGGGTATAAGGGTAAATGTTCTTAATCACTTAAGTTATAGACCTTTACTTTGGTAACTTAATTTGAAGGGATTGTATCCGAAGTATTGACTACGCATTAAGGTCATACTTCAAATATCTCCATCTCCTTAATCATGTGTAAATTTATTTTCCTTCTAGTTTGTGGTTTTGTATAAATATAAATGGACTAGTATAGTAATACGAAGTATGGAAGCTTACAAAGTGAACCTCAACAAAGAGAAGCATCAAATGGTAATATAGGTTTTGTGTCATTGTATTTCATCATGTTTCATCATGTGCTAAGTCACGTGATGGGAAAGATACATTCATAAATGGACATTCTAGTTTTGATTTCTCTTTCTAATTAAACTCCTAACTGACTTAGGAAGGACACAATCTACGAGGAGAATCGAGCTTGAACGTAATAGGATGAAAATAATGCTTTGTTCAACTGTCCTAACCCATATCTGATGCTTACCTACTTACAATTCAAGTTCAACTCCAAATAAAACGCAGCCCGCCAGTGTCAGTCAAAAAATAAGAAAATAAAGAAAATAAAATACCAAAAGGGAAGTATAGTCACGAAGTCAGAGGTTCACATGACGCCCACATGTATAAAAATCCCCACTCATGTGATCCTCCACTCCCCCACTTTGAAACCCAAAGCAGCTTCTGCAGCGCACAGCCGTTACCAAAAAAGACGCGATGAAGTCAATCTCAATCTCCGCAATCCAACGGCCACGATCTCTCCCTCCCCTTCCCCTTTCCCAATCCTCGCGACGCCTCTGATCATGTTAGCCGCCGCCTCCTCCTCATCCACATGGCTCCGAGCTCGCCGAAGCCGCTACCTCTTCCTCCTCATCTGCTCTCCGATTCTCATCCCCTTTCTCTGCGCCACTTTCCCTTTCCTCTGCGCCGCCGAGCTCTGCCTCCGGCTCTGTCGCCGCCGCCGTATAAAGACGGCTCACGGCGCCGACGAGGAGGTGGAGGAACGGCTGCGGCGATGCGAAGAAGGACGCGGCGGCGAGAGAGAAGAGATGGGGCTGCTGCAGAGGTATTTGGAGGATCAGTTGCTGCTCGTTGGATCTGTGTATGATTGTGGGGATGATGATGTTGATGATCGTTTGTATCATGAGATTCATGACTATGATAATGATTCCAAAACTACTCCTCTTTTGGCTTGATTGATTGCTTCTTTGCACTTTCCTTTTTTTTTTTTTTTTTTTTGGTAGCTTGTAGATCATCCATTTTTATTTATTTTTCTTTTGGTAAAATTTGTTTGTGAAGTTTTTTTGTTGAGAATTTTTGGAATTGTGAATATGAAATAGTGGTGTGCGTCTTTGCCTTGCCCTTGAGTTTTTGAGAAGTAGAAGCATCAGTCCACTAAAGGAAAAAACAAAGAGTTTGCCATTGAAAAAAATTTACACGCATGACATTTTTTCCTTCAGCTATGCCTCCGTCCATCCTCTCAATATTCAAATCGGGGATTTCCGATTTTGGACGAGAAGGGAAGTGTGACGAGCCCAATATATGGATCAATCCAATTTTCGTGAATGCAAAATTAATCCTTACCAAAACTACAATATCTAAATGAATAATACGAGAAAATTGTAATTAAATTTTTAATATATATATATATATATATGGAGCTTCAGTTGAGACGCTTTTTAAATAAGTTTATTTGAGGGCGGTTGGACGGTAAGGGTGAAATTCATTAATGATAAAAATAAAAAGATATATCTAACTAGTCAAGCAACCTAATAAAAAGATATATCTATCTATCTATAGGAGGACCAAAACCTTACAACAACCAACATACAAAATACAACAAAATTGACGGAGGCAATGAGAGAAGCAATGCCTAGGATGATGATGCTTCCGCTTGTTTTCCTCCTAGTCTTTCATGGTTCTGCTTCATGGGCAGCCTCAGCTTCTGTCTACGACAACTTTCTTCAATGCCTAAACACAAACACAAATTTATCATCAACCCAATTGCCCAACATAATCTTATGACGAAAACAACCCTTCGTACTCATCTGTTCTACAAGCCTCCATCAGAAACTCAAGGTTCAACACCACTTCAACCCCAAAACCAGTCCTCATTGTCACACCCTCAGCTGAATCTCATGTCCAAGCCTCTGTTGTTTGTGCAAAAACAGCTTGGCATACAGCTGAGAATCCGAAGCGGTGGGCACGATTATGAGGGCCATTCTGTTAGCTTGCAGGCTGACTGTTTGGCATTGATGAGGTTGGCTACATTAATGAGGTTAGCTTGACTTTAGGAAGCTGCTGCAATCTCCAGGATTAGGGGCTCAGTTAATATTGAGCTTGTATATATATTCTGCTGTATGTATTACAAAAGAAATTAATGAAAATTGAAACCAAATAAACCAGAAAACCTCTCCTCTTACACTCTATTTGGCATTTTCTTACTGGTCTGATCAGACCTTTATTGTCCTTGACATGTTCAACCTGAGGTCTGTGACTGTAGACATTAAGGACAAGTCAGTTTGGGTTTAGGCTGGAGCCACACTTCGAGAATTGTACTACAGAATTTCGGAGAAGAGCAAAGTCCATGGCTTTCCTGCTGGTGTTTGCCCCACAGTTGGTATTGGTGGGCACATAAGTGGTGGTGGCTATGGAAACATGTTGAGCAAGTTTGGCCTTGCTGTTGACAATGTCATTGATGCTCTGATTGTTGATGCTAAGTGGAGAGTTCTTGATAGAAAATCAGTGGGAGAAGACCTGTTTTGGGCTATTAAAGGAGGGGGTGGAGGAAGCTTTGATGTCATTGTTGCATACAAATTGAAGCTGGTAAACTATCACAGTTTTCCAGGCTGTGAGAACGTTGGAAGAGAATGCAACCGACCTCGTTTCGAGGCGGCACCAACCAGACCATGGTCTGTTTATGAGGCTGCTGTTGCAGCCAGGGAGCAACATTGTTAAAGCCACACCCACACTTATGGCAGAGTTTCTAGGCAATGCTGACCAACTTGTGTCATTATTGGGGAAGCAGTTTCCTGAGTTGGGTTTGAAGGAGGAGGACTGTAAGGAGATGAGCTGGATTGAGTCTGTGCTTTGGTGGGCAAAGTATGATAATGGGATCTCCCCTGATGTATTGCTTGATAGAAATACTGATCATGCAAATTTCCTGAAAAGGAAGTCTGATTATGTTCAAACCCCAATTTCCAAAGGCAGATTGGAGTTGGTGTGGAAAAAGATGATTGAAACAGGCCAAATAGGTCTGGGTTTCAATCCATATGGTGGGATGATGAGTCGGATTCCAGCCTCTGCCACGCTTTTTCCACACCGTGCCGGGAACTTGTTCAAAGTTCAGTACCACAGACACCAGGAGGTTTTTCAGGTTCATGACCCCATTTGTGTCCAAGAACCCAAGGAGTGCTTTCTTAAATTACAGGGACCTTGACAGTGGTGTCAATAAATTTGGTAACAGAAGCTATGAACAAGGGAAGGTGTATGCATGGCTTGAAGTACTTCAATTACAATTTTGATAGGTTGGTGAAGGTGAAGACTGCAGTTGATCCAGAAAATTTCTTCAGGAACGAGCAGAGCATCCCACCTAATCCAAGTTTCCACTCAGAGCCACCTCGTCCAAGCTTCCACTCACACCCAGCTTTTTCAAGCTTGCACTTAGAGGTGAATGGCGGGTCAAGCTCAAGTTGTAAACCATCAATGGGGAAGCTGAAGCTAGTACTGGCTCTACTGGTGTTCTTGTTTATTTCTTTTTAATTCTGTATTAGTTAGTTCTTTTTCTTTTTTCGGGTCGAGATATTTATTAGTTCTTAGCAGATTGGCAACCCCTCAATTTTGTACTGTGGTAATTGGTAGAAAGAATTTTTGTTCGAGTTTTTAGTATTTGGAACTTTAATCCGTACTTTTTGACATGCATCTTCATCTTACTTGTGAGAGGTACAAACCAAAAGATATTTGAGAAACAAGAAAAGTATAAATCTCTACTTGTCCACTTCAGAAAAGAGAAAGGCACTATATTTGTGAAAAGAAGGAGAATGTTGAGAGACAGAAATTCATATTCCCCATTACAACAAAGCTCAATTTGTAATACGGATTGACTGCGTATTAGACAACACGCTATCATACCTGGGGGCTTTTATGCCTCCCTCCTCCACCGCGGGGCTTTTATCCATTCCCAACATTTGGGGTTTTTTGTTTGAATTTCCGTCCCCTTATACCCTTCACACTATGGTGTGGGCTCATCCATCGAATATTTCCGTCCCTTTTATTCATTTTGGGCTTTTTATCCATCAAACTTTTATGTCCTTCACCGCGGGGCGTGGGCTCATCCATCGAATTTATGCCGTTGTATTGCATGCGTATTGCATTTTTATTGCGCATTTGCATATTTTCTTTTTTTCCAATTTTCCTAATTTCTTATTTTCCCATTTTCCTAACAAGAAGGCAATACAAAAATTCTAGTCCCAACTATATAATTTTGATTCCAAGACACTTGAAAAAATAGGTGATATGACATGAATAGCATAGCAATATAGAGACAATGTGAAGGCAATAAAATACTCCAAACTCCCAACTATATAATTATTTCCAAGACAGGTATATGAAATATTTAAATACTTGTATGTCAGAGGGGAATATATCTTTCCTTCACTCTATCCCTCAAAGACACGTCCTCGTCTTTTTTCTATCAGCAGCTGAGAGTATAAACCATCAAAATTTCAGTGAAAAGTGCAAACAAAGCTTCGACTGGTTTGATAGAAGTGAAAAGTAACCATTGAATATTGCTAACAAACCGAATAACTTCATATTGATTTCGGGTGGTATTTTCGGAACTTCTCACACAAACACACAGAAGATAGGCTTTACCAATCCAACATCAAATAATGACCTTTCTATGGACAAAGAGCAACTCAGAACATCTTAACATCTATCAGTACTTTGAATTACCGCACTCTACATCTAAAGGGGGGAGAAAAAGGCATACCTATGAGATAGTTGCAATCTGATTTTGTGACCAAACTCAACTTAAACAGAAGAAAGATTAAGGACATGAAAAACATAGAAAGAAAGAAGATTAGAATGTTACCTCTTGCAAAACTCCGTTACGTATCGAGAGCCGTTGTAAAAAATGAACCGCATCAAACAAGGACCAAAGTATCTGTCAAAATTAAGGAACTCACAAATTCAATATAACAGCACAGAGGAAGAGAGAGAGAAGTTCATATTAAATTTGATCGAGAATGGTGAGAGATGGAGTTAAAATCTTATATCCTAAATATAGCATTACTTCTTCAACATGTATTTCCCCTGCTATTGATTAAAGATCATCAGATTGAACCAGAAACATGATATACAAGTTTTGATGAAACTTATACATGCTTTCGAACTCGTTACAGCAAGTATTTACAATATGTTCAAGCAAAATGCTCCTTTTTTCCAATTGAACAAATGGTAAACGTCATACAACTACTTGAAAATTAAAATTATATACTCCATCTCTACATGATCAAGAATAAGCATAAGAATACAAATTTTTTTGTGATTTCTGAACTTCAAAATGACAAAAATCAATCCTATTGAACCCAATTCATGGCTCTAGAACCTACAAACAGTAATCACAGGTTGGTGCCAGGTTAAGATGTATCCGAATAAACACAAGCTGACAAAATTACATGTAAATGAAAAACAAAAAGTACATAAACCCAAAACAAAGAAAATATATATATAATATAGATAAATTCCAGCAATAGAAAAATTAGTAGGAAAAGCGGATTGTAGCACTGAGCTTCTCTGAGATACAGAGATTTATTATAAATCAACGAAACAATATCAATCAATTATAAACTCTAATCCAAATAACAATAACAATCAATATCAATAATAAATTCTAATCCATAAAAAACACTATATATATATATATATATCGATTTCATTAGAAATATGGTAGAGCCCTGTTCGTCACTTACAGAGAAAAAATAGGAAAGCAGAATAACAAACTCTCCAAGGAGGAATCTTACTGAACCTAGCTTCTAGAACCATTATTACAACTGAAATGAGAAATGGGAAATTGTAGAGCTGGAGCTTAATAGGAATATGACCCAATGGTTCCTAACCAAATATAAATTCTACTCACTTGAAATTATGGGCGGTGCCGGCAACACAAGGGCTGATGCGGCGGCAGGAGGTGGTCGGCGCCGGAGAAGTGGTGGGGGTTGGGGCTTAGGGTTTGAGTTTTGAGCGGAAGTGTAAAACTAATTTGGGAATTAAGGGTGGGTTCTGTTCCTTTCTAATTTCGAATGGACTGTGTTTAGGTGGTGAGGAATTATTGACCGAAAAAAACAAAAAAACGGTGGTGTGGAAATTTTTGGGGTTAATGGATGTAAGAATGTGAAGATAACGAGTCTGTATTGGAAAAATGAGAAACTTAATAATGACTTATAAAGAGTTGGATTACTTCCTTTATGGCCAATTGATTTTATGGTGGAATCTGAACTTCCTTATTCTTTACATTTATATTCTTACACGCTCTACATGTGTGGTGAATTTCCAGCATAATACGTTAATAACACGTATTGAATTGCGTGAAACACGTGTAGCCGTTAGGCTTTCACACATGAAATAACGTGATACTATGAAAGCAGTGAGAGCAGATAGGCTGATTTCAGGCTGAGAAAAGAGAAAGTAATGAAGAGGTGATAGGTGTGAGCAATAGGAATAGCGGTCAGTTTCATGGGCTTTAAAACAAGGGGCCATTTGGGGATTGTCTAGTGAAGCCAGCGGCCAAAGCCGCCTATTTCCCTTTAAATTTCAAATGGAAAGAAAGGGACAGCAAAGAACAACCAGCCAACAGCTCTGGCTTGCTTTTAGAAGCAAGACTGATCTGATCTCTGTGGGCCCCACCCCAGGCCCCCAAAAAGACAAAATGGCCCCTCTCGACCTGGCAGGCGTTACAACCGTTGCGGCCGGCTCTTTGCCTCTCTCCTCAAACATCGATGTTGTCAAGGTTTCCTTTCATTGAAAAACCTTCATTGTTTGATCACATGACAGCCTGTTCTAACAACACCTACTACAAACTCCACACGTGTCCCGAGACGACCTTGGCTTTCCCTTAGGATTTTTGTTTTTTTTAATCCAAAATGCGTTAGGGTTTCGCGGTGCTATTCTTCTTTGACAGCTCTGTCACTGTATTATTTCTATAAGGAATAAAATCTTTGAAGAGAAGGCAGGGGATTCCGACCAAAAAATAGACGGAAGGGGAGATTTCAATTTTTTAATTTTTTTGACAAACGATAAGATATTTACAAGATAATCTTACAACATACCAATATATCCACAACAATACTATATCATAACAATTATGCTTCGAACTCGTTAAAAATTTAGATCGTCCTTATATTCATGTGAGTCGAAATAGAAACACACCACTAAATCAAAGACTAATTATTTTTATTTTTATTTTTATTTATTTACTCAAAGGCGGGGCACGATGATGTGTTTGAAAATTTTGAGAACCCTGCTGCCATAAGAAAACGTGCTTAGCGGTTTCTGAGATTTTATGCGGCTTCTGTTTGGGTAGGGCGGCCCATTGTTTTGAAAAATCAAACGGCTTTTATTGGACTATTTATTTTGTGAAATCATTTATATATAAAAATTCAAGGAAAAGAAATAAAAATTGTGAGTACATGAATTGACAATATGAATCATTGTGACAGCCAATAGGTCCTTTTTTTTGGGTATGATGTTTGAGATTTATTTTTAAATATCCAACTAAGAAAAATATTAGATTAATTTTTCTAAGGGCACTAGCATCAATAAGTCATCACCCTACCAACTTTCTCCACAAATTGAGGATTAGAGGGCTTCATCCTTGCATTTGCATGTGCATTCACAAAAGGAGAAGAACAAGAAAAAGCAACCTCTTACATGATCATTTCTATCACAATACAATAATATTTTAATTTAAAACAAATCAACTTTAATTACACATTTTCTTATTGTGAGCATGTCATCTATTACGTCATAATGCGATATTTGGGCTAAATAGTTAGTCTAAGAAAAAATTGAAAGTGGGTTATCCTTGCTGTTTAACAAAAAAGCAAAAATCTTTAAAAGTAAAAATAAAAAATAAAAAACTATATGTTTTGATTAAACATAATTAAAGTCTATTCATGTAAAATAATAAAAGGTCATATTTCTAAGTCGGTGCAAGAGATGAACTCTTATCATAGATATAAAGGTATAATATTCTCTACCGCTCGAGCTATTCGCCCTAGAGTTGAAGGTAACGTTTAGTGCACCTTTCATACTCGCAAAATAATGTTGGATGACCAATTCTCAAACGTCGAGTGAGTGACGGCCTATTAGTTTCTTGAAGGGATAGAACATAAAATCCATTCCCGTTTCTCAAATTTTCTTTTATTAGATAAGTACAAACTTATGACCTCATGATGGCTACATCGGACATTTTGGATATCTTCAAATAAAATATTTTTTAAGATTAAAAAAATAAAATGAAATGGGGTAAGTGAAATTAAGAAGAAGGCAGGGCGATAGTGATATTTGGGAGTTTTGTGATATATTGGAGCAAAGTACACGAAATAATAAAGGAGATTCTCATAGGAGGAGGGGAAGTTTTAGAATTTTAGAAGAAGAAGAAGAAGTAGTGGGGTGGGCCCCGACCCGAAAACAAAGTGGTGTACTAGCTGGCAAACCGGTCTGACAGACTGGTTCTTCCCATAGCCAACACCACCAACATCAACAACCATCACCTTCTCCATTTTCTTCAAACCCCCCGTCTCCCCCTCAATCCCTCACCACTCAAACCTCAACTTCCACTTCTTCCTCACCATTTTTAAGACCCCCAACCCCTCTCTCTCTCTCTCTCTCTCTCTCTCTCTCTCTCTCTCTCTTATATAAATAAATATTATTTATTTCTT